AACCATATCAGCAGGAGGATTTAACTGGAAACACCTCTATGCGAACAAAAACGCAGGCAGGTGTGGCTAAATGCCTTATTTGCCAGGTGGTGCAAGCTTTTCTGGCCAAAAGCGCCTCACAGCACAGTGGGCTGTCGCTGCACTCTAATGATCTTGGGAGCTAGCAGCAAGTTCGTATCCTATATCTGCTCATGCTCCCTCAGGCTATGTGATAAGCATGAGTCAACTCTTGGGCAGCTCTTCAGCCCTGGGCAACTTGCACTAGAGTCCCAATAGCACCTTCCTGCTTGACAAACAAGGTCTGCTGCGTATTAGCTACTCTTGAAAAGCCCAGACAATGTTTGACAAGTCCTGTCCACAGACTAAGCAGTTCAGCAAAGTTCCATCGCACCTTTCACTTTCATCTACTTCAAGCCTCATGTCTAAACTAAAACTAGAAACTTTTAATGACACAAATGCAGCTTGCGTGTGCCATAGTGCTTGCCTGTTTGAACCTCTGCGCAGTACTTCAATGATATGTTAAATCTTTAAAACCAAGGTTTGCCCTAGACTTTGCCGGCCGAACGGCACTCCTTTTGCAGATCTGTCACATTCTTTCCGCGTGCCCAAACCTGCACAAACTGTGCCCTAAAATCGATGAGTCCGCAATCTACAGCCAGGTTAAGTTTTTGACGGTGGTCTATCAGTCACACCGCAGTAAGCACATCCTTTCTGCCTTGATCTAGGAGTCTAGGATAGTTGCTGCAGTTCTCTGAGACCATTGAGCCCGAACTAAATTTGAAGGCCATGAGAAAGGCCTGGTAGCGGTTCGCTTTTTTAACACAGGTGTAAAATGGCCAAAGGTCTTTCACGCAGGATCAAACCGCAACGGACTGTTTTGGCAAGGCTAGGTGCTGAGGAAGTACTACACTGGTGGAGAACTCTGCATCCACCCCTGCAGGAACAAGTCCTTGCGCATCACGCGCTCCAATCATGAACCGATTTGCCACCACAGTCAAGCTAGTCAAGCCTTTGAAGCATTCATTTCTGTGGATGGGAGCTCCAAAGCCATGATGACCCTGTCTTGGACGCTCTTGCGACAGCGACAGTGACTTGCTTCCAGCAGTGACGGCCACGGCGATGCGGGTTCTCGAGTCCGTCCGCACCGTTCTGTCCGGTTCTCAGGACACATAAAGCCAATTCGAAAACACCGTGATCCTCCAACACCTCATGAGGTGGAGTTGTTTGATTTGGCTTCAGAATGCACCCTTCGCTGCAAGTCGCTTCAGAATGCTCACTCACAAGTGCGACCCTGGAAACTCACAAGTGCGACCCTGGCATTCCGAAGTCGTCGATTTAGATCGGAAGGGTGCAGAAAGTCCAGAGATCGCTAAAGCATCGGCACTGATAGCGAAGAAGACCCCCTTTCACTCGGGACGGACCTCATGGAAATGGTCTCCAGATTCATTTGTCAAGTACATGACATGTGTTCCATGTGCCAACTCGACATCAAACCCTACAGGCACAAGTCCTTGTGGATCACACAGTAAGACTTGTGAACAGAGGGCGACCATGACAGTCAAACTGTCTTTCAGAACTATGAGATGCGAACGAAGACACTGGCAGACGGAGGCGTGCCCTGACATAGCTGGCAGCATAAGTCACTTCTCAAACAGATGACTCATGGTTCACCATGCAGCACCGGACATCAGTGATAGCTGCTTCACTGTACTGAGAGATGTCACAGACCCCCGATCTTCCCCCAAACCTGCCGCCTTGACACTTCAATCCAACTCAAGGACATGAAAATACCAACTTCCAGGGCTCTAAATGCCTACGTCGGTCATGGACTGTTCGGTCAGCCCCATCTGCTTGTGTTGAGCGGCACGCCTGCCACACTTCTGCCACACCAATGTCTGAAAGCTTAGCTCAGCGAAAGATCAAATCTTGCAGTCCGCTTGCCTGAAGTCTGAAGTAGCTTTTGCAAACGACAGGATGCACCGCACCCAGAAAATAGCAAATCCTTTGATTCATCAGGCTCGGAAACAAAAACAAGCGGGAGAAGCTAGACATGATACAATCGTAGCTGTGCCCAACAAAGCGTAGCTGTGCCCAACAAACCAAATTGACCTTTAGCGTCGTTGAGAATCACATGGGCAGAATGGGATCAACTCAAGACTAGGTTTCAATCCAAATGATCCTTGGCACTCGATATGGCACCAGCTGCACTCTGTTGGAACATGTAACATGTCTGTTATAACTTTACCTCTTCTTAGCTTACCATTGCCACATCAGATGCGGCAGCTGCCAGACTCATCTGCATCGGTTTATCCCGACTTCCTCACAGTTTCAGAACCAACTGCGATCATCAATGTGGATGACCCAGCCTCACTTCAGCACTAACCAACCCATGCCCACCGAAACTGGAGAATCCTCCCCGGGAGGAACCAGGCTGAGGACAAGCCGTGCTCAATTAGAACCATGAGGACAAGCGCGAGGACACCCCGTGCGAAACGGCTGCGGCATGTGCCCGAGCAACGAGGAGTCATTCAACGGTCCTTCAACGCAGAGCACTCCTTGCGAGACAGCCGAGTTCACCGTTCTGGCCTTCAACTTTGTGTAATGTTCAGGCCAGGTTGCTGCATGCTCAAAGCAAGAGTTCATGAATCACCAATCGAAAGTGACTGAAAAGCTGGCACGACAGCACTTGATTGCATCTTTGGTAGCTTTACTTCTTTTGTTCTGAAGATGGGAGCAATGTGCCAAAATTCACCTTGGTGACTGCTGGCTTGGATCTTATGATACTCTGTTGTACCGGGTAAACTGGGTGAATTCTTCCAGAAGAACGTCTCCGCTGAAGTTAGACCAGCTAGACGGAGTCTAAGCTCATCTCAAGAGCAATCAACTTAGCGACTGAGACTCACCTGATCCAGCACCACTGCTTGCCGTGGTTCACCAACTGGAGCTTGAAGTTTGTCTAACAGAATCCTCACAAGAACTCGTGGATCAAAAGACATGCAAGAATTAGGCACCGTTCCGTCAATCATCACCATCGCACAAAATCGACCAATGCACAACTTGTGTGTGTGTGTGTGTGCGGCTGCGTATGTATCTGTACTCTGTTTGCCGTTTGCCGTCTGCGTTAGATGCAATCTTTTGAGCTCGCTAAAGGCTGACTGAGTTGCCAACTGACTAGTCAAACCGATGTTCGAGCCGATAACCTCTGGGAAGAGAAACAGATCAGGTGTTCCTGTGTGCAAAACATCTCTTTACATGTCAGCCACTTCAGTCTGGCTAGTTAGTCACTTCGTCTGTCCAACATCCATCCGACGGAACTGAACTTGGAGATGTGAAGCGTGTTACATCCAACCGTTGTCATGTCCAACAGCCAGATGACTCGCCAGGTCCAAAAAGCAGTCCCGTACCACCTTTCAATAAAACTCCTGCTGTTGCCGTGATACCGGGTGGAAACATCCCCAGCATTCTATCACAAACAAGAATAGAAATAAACTCTTGTTTGCTGACCTTTGGGCATGTTGATTGATGCTTATTTGGCACAAAACCAATGCTTGTTCATGCTTGTTCCCTGTGCTGTGCCATTCAAAAACAGTCAGACACAGGGTTCTTGCTAGGTTGTTTTGAGAATTTGAGACCATTGTTTTGTCTCTGAGGATCATCTTTCTGTAGGCTCTTTGGCTTTCAGCCAGCAACTCCTTGCGTGTGCACACACCCCTCCTTCCCTCCCTCCCTCCCTCCCTCCCTCACTCACTCACTCATTCATGACCACCGCTACTTCCGAAGACACTTCGAGCACGTCTTCGATGGAGACCGGGTCCACGCGTCTCGACGTCGAGTCCCGCACGGTCAAGGGATGAACGCAGCTTCGCCACCAGCGCTACGTGGCGCCACGTGGCGCTTAGACCGACTCCGCGGAGTATCTGCCAGACGGTCGAATCGGCACCTGCGAATCGATCCGCACCGCTCCAGCACCTGTGGCTACGCAGCGCCTCGAACAGTTTCTTCTGCTCGAACAAGATGCAAATGACTTCGAGGATTCATTAGACCCAGGTCTGATCGGACAGTGGTGGAAAAAAAGGTAGTACAGTGGTGATGGCACAGTGGCGGTGGAAGAACAAACTCAAAAGCCGTGGGTGATGCGAACGAAAAAGGGTCGAAGATCGGATTCCGAGTTCCGTTTTCAGTCTTGGCACTTCAACGGTTTGTCCTTGCATGCATGCTTTGAGTTTAAGTTGAAGTCTTCTCATTGATTTGCCAGCCTTGAAAACTGCTGTGTGGTTTGTCCTTAACAGTTAAGTTACTAGTTAACATGCTCTTCAGTTCAAATCACGCACCAGTTGAACGACCACAGCTACCCTTAAGAGCAAAAGGCTTGGATTTCAGCGCTTCCACGCTTGCGGGGACGCCGAACAACGCCCAAACAACGGTGTGCGCGTTCTTTCTGCCGCTGCTTCGGGCTCTCGCATTCGCGGCGCGGTTCCCGGGTGCGGTTCCGCCATACGGAGCCGGAACAACGGAGCCTAAACGGTCCGACTCGGGTGAATTGGGAGGGAAAAACGGCTTACTTCGCCTTTCACTGGGATGATGTTTGTTGCACGGACTCGGCGGGAGATGCTTTGGTGTCGGTTTTGTGGCCGCTGCTGAAGAGGGTGTTCTTCTCCGCCGGGGGCACGGCGGGCGGCGCACGCACGCACGACCCGCACGCATGGTGTAGAACACCTACTGGTTTCACCAGGTGAAACACCATCGTTAAGCAACGTGTGTTTGTTCAAAGCAACGGTTCATCGATTCACCTTACTCTTCCTCACCTGATCAACCTTTGGAGCATTGCGCTTCTTCCTACCCGAAGCATGGACCCGGTCCAGTTCAACACACCGGATCGTCTTCGTCCACTTCGAAAGACTGGAGCTGTGTTTGAGAGGCCTGAAGGTACAACCAAGAGCGGATTATGTGGCCTTCGCTTATCTGGAAAAGAGGTATCTGGTATCTGTTACCATTGGGGAAGGGCTGTGCGCTTGGTGCAAAAAGTAACCATATGAGCTTATGGCAGACTTTTTCCCGAAGCGTCGGAGCACGGCCGGGGCCGTGAATAGATCGCATGTTCAACTGGCAACTGGCAATATGCCAAGCCTTAATCCAGCGGCAATGTGTGCAGCATGCCGAGGTGGAGCTGGAAAGTAATGTCCAGGTCGAGGTGGAATCCGATGATGAAGTACAGTCTTTGAAAGTGTGGCTTCTCTTTGCAAGCCAAAGAACCTTCCTTTCTCTGAATCGGGATTCGGTTGGAATCTGATTTGCATCACTGGCTTCAAACTACCATGCAATGCCATTTGCCACTCACTGAAGAGAAGGCCTTTGTTCGGTTTTCAAATTGACCGAAGCTGAGTATCGTGCAGGTTGAGTATCGTTGGGCAAGGCGCTGCCGGTATGGAAAAGCAATCTGGGCTGCCGGCCTCACAGCAAGAAGGTGACAGTCAGTCAGCATGTCAATCCTCAGCTCATCTTGAATCTGAATGCGTGGGCACCTGTAGTTGCCCCCTTCAGGCTGCCTGTCAGCGTGAAGGAAACAGCAGCTCCACCTTGGGCACTCCCCGTCATGCCAGGGATCTATCACATAGGACCTCTTCATGAACATGCAGTTCCAAGGGAAGATAAAGGCAAAAGGCTTGACGGATGCTTTCTGACAGAGACTCTATCAGAGTTGCTCAAGCCTCTCTTGCCTATTGCGAAAAGAAATCGTTTCAAGGGAATGTCAAGCTGATGGACGGGACGTCATTGGCCGGATAGAATTCAAGGCAGGACTTCATCTGCTCTGCACGTTGACAGAGGACTTGGACGTTTTTGTTCCGCCAGAATGTCCTCTGCCTGCACCAACGAGCCATCTATTTCTGCTTCCCAGATTGTGGACGATCTGCCTATTGAATCTGCAGCTCGCAGGCTGCGATTTGGTGAGACCGTGCAGCCTTTGGAGTGAAAGAACCCGACCTCACAAAAAAGGACGTGAGTGAAGATGCTTGCACAGCACGCAACATCCACAGCCAGAGGAGCACCACCATGGTGCTCTGGTTGTTCTTCCACAAGAGTCGCCAAGGTCACACTTCCATCCGGCTGGAGCTAATACGTTTCGTAGTGGTATTCTCTGCAACTCAAGTCGGATGACTGCCACCTTACACGCCACACGACTCAATTCGGGTGCCTATCACCGAAAAGAAAAAGAAAAAACCTGTGAAAAGGTTCAAACAAATGAAGGTTTGACTATTGTTGGAAAAGTTCCAAATCAAATCTTGGTTCGCGGATAGATAAAAGGCAGTTCCTTCGAGACTCTTTTTGCTAAACCCAAAGCATTCTGTGTGTGTGTGTCAGGCACAAACAACTTTCCAAGACACCACCCCACATTCCAGTGTCTTGCTAGGTTTCGACCAAAGACTTCTATGGATTGCAAATCTCTGCCAAGAAACCCAGAAGTGCTTGGTCACCTATGCAGTCAAAGAAGTCAGACCCATAGGCCCGACACAGTCTCGCGTGGTACACTGTAGCACATCGTAGTACACCGTGCCGCACAGGATACGGTGCTTCAGTACGACTGGGTCTTCGCTCAGTTCGGTGCTTCACGGAGTGACCTGTGCTCAGTTCACGACCATCGCATCGTTGGCTTCCCCGTAGCCACAGCGAACGATGCCCACAGCTTGAGTGGGACACCTTGGCCATTTGGGCGGAATTGTTCATCGATCGAACCCATTAACCCGACGGCACACACACACACACTCGAAAAGAAACGGCCAAGCAATGTTTGACACTCGAAAACAAGGGCACTCTTGTGGGAAACTCGAACGTGCGACACGCTTTTATTCGATGCTCTTGTAGGACACTCTTGTAAGGCACTCTCTTGTGGGACACTCTTCTAAGCACTCTGGAGGAGAACCTAGCACAGAGTGCGTTGGAGAAGTGACCCCCATCAATGCAGTCCGAGATTCCCTTTCTCAGGACAGCTGATTCTTTCCAGAGATAGAGATACTCAGCCTGATTAGCCACTGGCCGCTGGTCCTGCTGGCCGCCAAGCAGTGGATCATCGATGATGGAAACACAAAAATGGAAAACAATCACCGCTGCAGGCTTAAAAAAGAAGAAAAACATGTAGCTCTCGAACAACTTCGAGCCTCACTTTATTCATTCTTGTTTCAAACCGCTTGCAAACCAGTGCTCCTGCCAGTCTTTTGCAAGATGCGTATCATCTAATGTTCATCTTGGACTTACAAATTGTGCTTCACCGGCTTTATCAGCTTCTCTCAACATAGAAAGCAAGTGAGTCGCGGTGAACACAGTCAAATGACCAAATCTGTGAACAAAAGCTCAAGACTAATAATATGTAGGCCCTGATTTCTTAGCGATGCTACAACCCCCAGTTGTTCTTTAGCGATGCTACCTCTCTGAATTTAAAAGAAGAAACGGTAAACCAACAAACATCACGCCACTCCCCTGCGAGTCAGCCCGCTCGGCGCTCGGGGCTCCTCCGTATATGGTCACGCCCTTCGCCGCGCGAAGCGGTTGGTCGCCGTCAGCGCGGTCAGCGTCTTCCCGTCGAGGTTGCCCGTCCTAGAGAGGCCCGGACGTCCAGGCGCGAGGCGCGAGCCGAGAGGTGCGAACAGAGTCGAAGGGAAGAACTTAGAAGCGATGGCCTCCAACCTAGAAGCGATGGCCTCCAACCTACTATATA